CATGAAAATGATAAAAAATATTTTATTCGAAGTATTGCCCATCGCTAGCTATATATTTTTTCCACCTGTCTGATCCTTGTGGATGCCACGCCAAAAAAATTGTTGCTCTTTTGAGCCAAACCAGTCATCTAATCATTTTCGTACATCTTCGTAAGAAGTGAAGCGTTGCTGAGCAAGTGCGTGTCCCATCGATGCAAATGAGTAGTAATCGGACGGAGCCAAGTCTGGTGAGTAAGCCGCATGTGAAAGTATTTCCCAACCAAACGCCTCAATCGTTTCCTTGACCAGTTTTGCTGTGTGTGATGGTGTATTATCATGAAGCAAAATCACTTTGTGTTGCCTTTTTTGATATTCCGGTCGATTTTCACGCAAAGCTTGATTCAAATTGATCATTTGTTGTCGGTAGTGTTTAGTATTAAACACTACCGACGGTTTTGCCAGGTTTTAGCAGCTCATAATAGATCACACCTTTCTAATCCCACCAAACACAGAGCATTGTCTTCCGTTCATAGCGATTTGGCCTTGCAGTCGATGTCGATGGTTTGCCTGGAGTTACCCATGATCTTTTATGCTTAGGATTCTCAAAATATATCCACTTTTCATCGTCAGTCACAATTCGATGGAGAAATGACTTTCTTTTGTACCTGGCGAGCAGCATTTTGCAAGTGGTTTTTCGGTTTTTCTGCTGTCTTTCATTCAGTTCATGTGGAACCCATTTTCCCATCTTCTGGATCTTTCCCATGGATTTCAAACGTATGGAGACGGCTTCTCGTGTCACATTCAATTGATCCGCAAGTTGTCGTTGAGTTTGAACGTCATCCTCATCCAACAATGCTTGCAATTCACTGTCTTCAAACTTTTTCGGTGGTTTTCCACGTTCTTCGTTTCTCACGTCAAAATCGCCACTTTTGAATTTTTTATACCACTGTGATTTACTAAGAGCATGCTCACCGTAAGCTTCGACAAGCATTCGATGCGATTCTGCAGCAGTTTTCTTCAAATGGTAACAGAAAATCAATGCTGTCCGCAAATCGTAGTTTCCAGGCACAAAATTCGACATGTTCAACGCTATTACAAACTATACTGTTGTATGAAACTTGTATTGTTGTGAGTTGAAAATCTTTGTCAGATGTCAGAACAAGGAAATGGCGTCAATGACGCGGTCTGACAGCAACTACATTTACAGCTATGGTCATCTATATATTGGTAAATTCCGGTTTCATATTTACATACTTGGTATTTAAGATATATAAGTATTTCATTAAGGAACAATGAATAAATTTACAATAGAAAATTTTATGTTAATCGATTATTTAATATAGATATAAATTATTTAATAAAAAACATTCAATAATAATTTGGCGGAAGGCGCATTCCCAGTATATTTCTGGTATAGGAGCGCCCCTGAGTCAGAGTGTCACGTGACCGCCCGACAGTTCGGCCGTGCGGTGGTGGGGGTCGCCAACGAAATCGAGCCGAAATGTGCAACTAAATCCCAGCTCTGTCATAAATTATAATCTACAATACATAAAATGATTACTGTAAGGCTGAGTTTCCACTGAGCGCGTCACGCGTCGCGTCGTCGAAAGAGAGAAAGAGAGGGGTTCTGTTATTTGGGGTGATCCCGATTGACCACGGTTCGATTGGACACCACCAATCACAGCGACCGGTGCTTAGGAGCTCTGTAGTCTCAAGCGCTGTGAGTGGCTCGTATCCAATTGAGCCGTGTCCAACTGGGTGCCACCCGTGTATTTATGTAATCTTATCTCTTTCTCTCTTTCATGACGCGACGCATGACGCGCTCAGTGGAAACGTACCATAAGGCGTGTAAAAGACCTAGTGGTTATTTCGTGTTACATACGTGTAGAAGAATAATAAAGCATGTTGTATAGCAAAATACAAGTGCTTTTCTTTCGTATTCTTTGTTTAGTTTGTTGAAACCCTTGCATTTTTACCATACAGGGTGATTTTTTTAACCTGAAACTTTCAAATATCTCGAAAAATAAGCACACTAAGAAAAAATGTTAAGAATCAATATTTCATCATTCCGAGGGTGACATACACTGACGTTAAAATCAACCCCCCCACCCTGCCCCCTGGGCGGAGAGGGGGCAAATTTGAAATCTTATATGGGAACTCCTATTTTTCATTGCATATTCGGAATCTTTGGCTAAAAGCACATACGATTTGTCTGAAACATTTTTCTCGATTTATGATAGATGGCGCTGTAATCGACGAAATTCAATTTCTTCGATTTCTCTTAAGGCCGTTCTACAATAAGTTGCAAACATCCCGTTGCCAGTCGCAAAGGTTCGCAACTACTAGTTGCAAAGTGCTATTTTCGGTTGCAATAGATAGTCTCGGTTGCCAACGGAGAGTTGCCCAACTTTTAACTCCTTGGCAACAGCAACTGTCTACCGTAACATCTTAGCCAATCAAATATTGTCTTCGAAAAGCGCGAAGAGTGAAATGAAAGTTGTTGTGATATATCGGTGGTGTTTGATTTATTTTATTTTCATTTCGAGAACATCTCGAATATCTATCACATAACCTGCTTGATATATTCTCTCCGATTTTTCGGCTACAGCAAATAACGACGGACGTTCTACTTTCTGATTGGCTGTTTCTATACAAATCGCAACTTTCAATATCCAAATGTGGATTAGGTGTTGCAATGATTTAGAACTTGTGACTGGCAACTTGTCACTCCGCAACTGGCAACGGGGTGTTCGCAACTTATTGTAGAACGGCCTTTACTGAGAACCCATGCTTACGATTCTGCAATACATTAACAATAAATATACCACGTTTTCATTGTTAATACTCGTAATTAGTCTTAAAACTTCTCATTATTTTTAATTACTCGTTAATTACTTCTCAAGAAACTACTTTTAGCGTAACCCAGGCAGGAACAACGACGTGGACGTAGCAGTTTTCTGTTCCCTTCGGGGTGTTTGATTAACGTGAGTCCCCTTGCCTCTCATAATTCGAGGTGCTCACAATGAAAATGTGGTATTTTTATTGTTAATGTATTGCAGAATCGTAAGCATGGGTTCTCAGTAAGAGAAATCGAAGAAATTGAATTTTGTCGATTACAGCGCCATCTATCATGAATCGAGAAAAATGTTTCAGACAAATCGTATGTGCTTTTAGCCAAAGATTCCAAATATGCAATGAAAAATAGGGGTTCCCATTTAAGATTTCAAACTTGCTCCCCCTCACCGCCCAGGGGGCGGGGTGGGCGGGCTGATTTTAACGGCAGTGTATGTCACCCTCGGAATGATGAAATATTGATTCTTAACATTTTTTCTTAGTGTGCTTATTTACAAAGTTTCATCAAAATTAATAATTCGAATAGTTTTCGAAATTAAAAAAAAAAGTTTTTTTAACTTTGATATTCTTTTAAACTAAGCCGTTTCATATATATATATATATGTATATAGTTATATGAAGTTTTCATCTTAAAGTGTAACGAATCATCGCTTAAAATCTTTTAACGTACTTAGCGTATACACTCCTTATATATCGAAAAGGATTTAATATGATCAACGATCTGATTTAACTTATATATCAGAACGTACGGATACGATAGTTTAATGTAATTGTAATGCATTATTATACATGGTGGGCCGAAAGTCTGGATACACTCAAATATCTCATAAACGATGTATTTTAGAAAAAAATGTTTCTTACAAAAGTTGTAAAGCTTAAAATAACGCTAGTAGTTATGTAACTTAGGATGGCGTTGTGAAGATCAGGTCAAGGTCAACATGAATTTTTTAAACGGTTTCATTTTTGTACTGAAAATTCATTTTTATATAAAAATAAAAATAAGAAAATCAATCTCCAGTGACCTTGATCTTAATAAATGTTATTCAGGACATGATCCTGAACATTCTAGAGGTTTCAGCCGTCGGTCGGACATCTTGGGTAATGTTAATGCCGACTTTCTGTCTGTATCGTAATTTTCAAGCCTTATAACTCGCAAAGTACTTAATGAAAATGAACTTAACTTTAGTGTTTTGGAAAGCTCTCGAGATAAGCTACAAGAATATGTAATAAAAAG